CAGCTATGTTCATATTAATAAAACCCCTCCTTCCTTACCTTGGCACATTTACTAATGATTTTGAAGACAGTCTAACCCACATTGTAGGTAGAGAAGAACATAATCTTGATCAGTAATAACAATGAGACTCAAAATTTACAAGAATAATGTACAAACACTGAAGAAGATGGCAAGTGAATTAAAGATTAAAGAGGAAAGAAAAATTACTAATGCAGAAATTCATTTCAAGTCAGTTTCTCCCACTCTGTGCCCTGTGCAAGAAACGGAAGTAAAAGTGGCGGCACCTACCAACACCACTTATACATCAGGGGGTGGACACTACAGGCATAAGGCTCCTATGGCTCCTGGAACAGAGTAAGGGTAGCTATTCTTCCTCCACATTTCACTGCCCATGAATCACTGTGCTTGGTTGTCCTGACCTCACCGCCCAAAAAAAGAGTATGAGTGAAAACTATCTTCATTCATTCTTCTAATTCACCCAACAAACGGTTCTTAGAATTCCTTCTCTGTATTAAGTAGCAGGGTTGCAAAGATAAACTGGGTTCCAGTCCTCAAGTGACTTATAGTCTAATAATCTAATGGGGGGAAAAGAGAACTAACTAAATAAATATGATCAAAGTATGTACAGGTGCCAGGTAGTATCCTATGTGCTATGGACCCAAAGTTAAAGATGTCAGATAAGGTTTTTGTTCACACAGAATTTACATTGAACTGAGGAGACAAACAAGGAAACAGAAAAATGTGAAAGATAATTTCAAAGAGTGATCATGTTATGGAGACCGATAAAGGAGGGTTAACTTATCTTGATTGCGAAGGTCTGAAGAAGTGACATTTGATCTGAGAACTAAACAAGAGCCAATCATGTAAATATCTAGAGAGAAAGTATTCCGGGGAGAGGCAACAAGTTCAAAGGCCTTGAGGTGGGAATGGGCTTGAAAAATGGACAAAAGCCAGTATTACTAGAGCCTAGACACAGAGGAAAGTAGAGAAGAGGTCAGAGAAGTAAGGATTTGAAATACGAAGAAGCAAAAAACACCCAACCGGAAAAGCAAAATGAAAAAAGAATCCAAAAATATGAAGATAGTGTAAGGAGCTTCACAGATAAGAAAAAGGTAAAGGAGTTCATCACCACCAAACCAGGATTATATGAAATGCTGAAAGGTATCCTTTAAGAAGAGGAAGAAGAAGAAAAAGGTAAAGATACAAACTATGAACAACAAATACACATCTATCAACAAGTGAATCTAAAATACAAGTGAATAAATAATCTGATGAACAGAATAAACCGGTGATTATAATAGAATCAGGGGCATAGAAAGGGAGTGGACTGATTATTCTTGCAGGGGAAAGGGGTGTGGGGGATGCAGGAAGAGACTGGACAAAAATCGTGCACCTATGGATGAGGACAGTGGGTGGGGGGTGAGGGCGGAGGGTGGAGTGGGAAATGGGTGGAGGGGAGCTATGGGGGGAAAAAGAGGAACAACTGTAATAATCTGAACAATAAAGATTTAATTTAAAAAAAAAAAATACAGACTTGGTCTAACTTAAAAATTCCCTGGCCTCACAGAAGGGCGGAAAACGTGTTTTAAAAATAAGGGGAAGCCCTAACCGGTTTGGCTCAGTGGATAGAGCGTCGGCCTGCAGTCTTAAGGGTCCCAGATTCGATACCGGACAAGGGCATGCACCTTGGTTGCAGGCACATACCCAGTAGGGAGTGTGCAGGAGGCAGCTGATCGATGTTTCTCTCTCAACGATATTTCTAACTCTCTATCCCTCTCCCTTCCTCTCTGTAAAAATTCAATAAAATATATTTTTAAAAAATAAAAAATAGAAATGTAAAAACTCGAGAACCAAGATGGCGGCATAGGTTAACGCCGGAGTTTGCTGCCTTGAACAACTACTTCAAAAGTGAAACTAAAAGACGGAAGGGACATCACCCAGAACCACAGGAACGCTGGCTGAGTGGAAGTCCTACAACTAGGAGGAAAGAGAAACGCATACGGACACTCAGAGGAGGCGCAGTGCTGAAGTCAAATTCTGAGGTGCGGAGTGCGCGGAGCGGGCTGGCGGCGGAGGGCGCAGTTGGCGTTTTCAATCGGGAGGGAGTCGCAGACTCTGAGCTCCAGATACAGGCGAGTCTTTAGGGACCCTGACTCAAACGGGAGAAGCGGGACTGTCTGGCTTCGGTCAGAGCGAGTGCAGCTTTCTCTCCGAGGTTTGCAGCGGGTGCTGGGACTCAGAGAGGCAGAGCCCCTGGGGACAGGACTGAGAGCCGCCATAACTGCTCTCTCCGGCCCACCCTGTTGATCCTGTGTGACCCGCCCCGCCCAAGCCCTGCACAGAGGCATTTGCCGGATAGCCTCAGGCAAAGGCTAGATTAGCACCTCCCTAGAGGACAGAAGTTCTCTCACTGCTGACACAGCTGATTCTCATAGCCACTTGGCCTGGAGATCAAACCCTCCCTGGTATTAGCTACAACAATCAAGGTTTAACTATAAGACTGCGCACAAAGACCACTAGGGGGTGCACCAAGGAAGCATAACAAAATGCGGAGACAAAGAAACAGGACAAAATTGTCAATGGAAGATAAAGAGTTCAGAACCACACTTTTAAGGTTTCTCAAGAACTGTTTAGAAGACGCCGATAAACTTAATGAGATCTACAGGAAAACTAATGAGACCCTCGATGTTATATTGGGGAACCAACTAGAAATTAAGCATACACGGACCGAAATAACGAATATTATACAGACTCCCGACAGCAGACCAGAGGAGCGCAAGAATCAAGTCAATGATTTGAAATGCGAGGAAGCAAAAAACACCCAACCGGAAAAGCAAAATGAAAAAAGAATCCAAAAATGCGAGGATAGTGTAAGGAGCCTCTGGGACAGCTTCAAGCGTACCAACATCAGAATTATAGGGGTGCCAGAAGATGAGAGAGAGCAAGATATTGAAAACCTATTTGAAGAAATAATGACAGAAAACTTCCCCCACCTGGTGAAAGAAATGGACTTACAGGTCCAAGAAGTGCGGAGAACCCCAAACAAAAGGAATCCAAAGAGGACCACACCAAGACACATCATAATTAAAATGCCAAGAGCAAAAGATAAAGAGAGAATCTTAAAAACAGCAAGAGAAAGAAACTCAGTTACCTACAAGGGAATACCCATACGACTGTCAGCTGATTTCTCAACAGAAACTTTGCAGGCCGGAAGGGAGTGGCAAGAAATATTCAAAGTGATGAATACCAAGAACCTACAACCAAGATTACTTTATCCAGCAAAGCTATCATTCAGAATTGAAGGTCAGATAAAGAGCTTCACAGATAAGGAAAAGCTAAAGAAGTTCATCACCACCAAACCAGGATTATATGAAATGCTGAAAGGTATCCTTTAAGAAGAGGAAGAGGAAGAAAAAGGTAAAGATACAAATTATGAACAACAAATATGCATCTATCAAGTGAATCTAAGAATCAAATGAATAAATAATCTGATGAACAGAATGAACTGGTGATTATAATAGAATCAGGGACATAGAAAGGGAATGGACTGACTATTCTTGGGGGGGAAAGGGGTGTGGGAGATGCGGGAAGAGTCTGGACAAAAATCGTGCACCTATGGATGAGGACAGTGGGTGGGGAGTGAGGGCGGAGGGTGGGGCGGGAACTGGGAGGAGGGGAGTTATGGGGGGGGGGGGGGAAGAGGAACAAATGTAATAATCTGAACAATAAAGATTTAATTAAAAAAAACAAAAATAATTCCTGTTCTAAAAAAAAATTTAAAAAAAATAAAATAAAATAAAAAATAAATAAAAATAAGGGGAAAGTGTGACTTTTAAACATCCAGAAAATCAACTTCTTTAAGAAAGACTTAGAGCAGCTACATTAAAGAAACTACGATACTGACAGGGCGCTCCCGGAGGCAGCCCAGCATGTGGAAATGCAGGCTCTTTCAGGCCCAAATGAACAGCCCTGTGACTTCGGCAACTTACTTTGCCTGCCTGGACCCCCATTCCTATTACTTTGCCTGCCTGGACCCCGTTTCTATCAGTGAAAGGAGGAGAGTAAGAGGATTGTCATGTAGATCAAATTGGCTACTGGTTTAGAATAACACTTAGCAAGTAGTGAGTAACCCATAATATTAAGTATTATGAATAAACACTCTGTATTTGTTAAAGGTTCAACATTATCAACATTTTGTCTCCTCCCAGCCATGTATTTCTATCTAAATTTAGAAAGAGCTAAAAGAAAAAAAAAAAGTGGCATTAACTTAGTTATATGGGTTGTTTTTGCTAAGACTGGCTTCTATGATGCCCAGCTTTATAAATACCCATGTTTTATTTCTCTTTCTGCAATTTCCCTCATACTATGAATTTTTAATTAGTAAGAAGTTCTAACAATGACTGAAAGTCATAAACACAGCCGGATGTGAAGGCAATATTTCTTTCGCTACTTGGCCACAGCAGCAGGAATGGGAACTGTGGGAGCCTGAGGGACACTGAGGAATTAGACATTAAAGCTCAGCTGGAAAAAACACAGTGGGGGACCACTGGTCTCCTCTAACCAACCACACTCACCTGTTTGTTTTTGTGTTTTAGAAATCGTCAAGAAACCTGCCAGTAAGTTATTTTCCTGTATTTTAATCTGAATATTTTAGGAGACGCAAATGCACGGCAATCATTATAATATCACTTTGCAAAGCATAAAATTCTTATTTCCCATTCTATATTCCCTATCCATTAATCAGAACTTTTTATATTGTGACAGTTCGCAAGAGAGTTTTAACACCCTGGTTAATCAAAAGAAACACACGTATATGAAAAATAAAAACTTGCCTCACTATCGGCTGGATTCTCTGAAGGAGAGTACAGTCTGAGCGCCAAGAAAAGAGTGGTGTGTTTGATGAAGTTGAAATGCTTAAGTAATTCCCACTTTCCTAAGAGCTTTCCCACCTCTGCCTGCACTGGAGGGGAACATAAAAGCACCCAAACGACTTCACCCACCTGCACACAGGCCTCAGCAGGGCCCGCCAACCCAGAACACGGAACTCTACAACACGGCTCAGTAGTAAAATGAACTTGCATTCGAGTCTCAGCTTCTGTCTTCTGAACCATCCTCTAGGAAGTACAAAAATAATAACTTTCTCTTAATCCAAGAAACTACTGCAGTATCTCTGATATCACCCATGTCCTAGACACATCTCATTTTTTCCTTGTCTTGTCTTTGTATTTGAAAAAGTCTTGAACACCCACCCATAAGTCTGTTCATTCTCTGAATTAAGCACACTGATTACTAGATGATATGAATCAACAAATGTTGTGTCAGTATCAAACAACTTAATCCTGAATTCAAAGTGCTAATCATATACATATGCAAGTCAAATGAATAAAAAGGAAATGAGGACGACGGATTTAAAAGGACGAAGGGTTTTCCTGGGTTCCTAAGTAGTTCTTACACATTGTGAAAGATGGAGGAGTATAAATTAAGTAATCCCCAGAGAGAAAATACACACAAAAGGATTTCCACAAAAGAACATTAAATCTTCAAATTCTGAAGAAAAAGGAATGGTTACTAAGATAAGTGGGATTTGGTTCATTTGAAATCTCAAATATCTGTTGTCATTATAGATCAACAAGCAGATTTACTTAAAGAACATGAACACTGAAATCACACAAGAGAAAATTTCAAGTATAAACATTAATCCTCAAGTAAATGCAAATTATAACCTCACTAATTTCTAATTTAGTGCCTATTAAGTGAGTGAGACTAAAAATGTTGCAGGAGTAGTAAAGAAACAAATATGTTTTTCTTCTTATAAGTGACAACACTTTAGAATGATTAACCAGTATGCTACACGTTAGACATGGCCAAAGAAAATAACACATACACAAAGAAATTTTAGGAAGCTATGCGCAACTGAGTTAAATGTTTTAGCCACAATTTTGGGAAATCCCAAATAGCTCATTTAAGTTAGTCTGTTAATGAAATAAAGTCTTGTATTTTAATAATGGATGACAGTTGTTTTTCTGTAAATTAAGATTGGCTGACTCAGCTAGTTAGTCACTTATTTGCCTTTTTTGTTGTTAATTATTGAGTCCTTTAATCTAAAAACGAGTCTAGAACTGATTTCTATGGTGCTGTTTTTCTATTCTATTATGCAGACCCTGACCTAATTTTCATTGGCTTTCATTCCAACTTCCAAACATCTCCCACTGAATTTTTCCTGACAGGGAAAAATCTATTAATTTTTATTTTATTTTTAATTTGTTGTTGACACTATTATGTATGTCCCTTAGCACCCCCCTTTGCCCACCTCCACCCAGCTCCCGCCCCCCTCCGGGCCTCACCACGCTGTTGTCTGTGTCCATAGGCTATTTTTATATTCTTTGGCTAATCCCTTCCCCTTCTTTCATCCAGTCAAGTCCAAGGAGAGATGAAACACAGACTAAAAGAATTTTGGTATTGGTTCAATTTTCTTATGGATACCACCTGGGACAAAGACAAAGAAAAAAAAAGTGAGAGAGAAGGAAAAGAGAAGAGAAAAACAGGAAAATAATAAACAACCAATCTTCTAATAGTTTCTAGGGCTGGGAAGAAAAACTGAATCACTGTGTATGCATCTGTGCCTGTGTGTATGTATGTGTGCGTGTGCGTGTGCATGTGTGTGTGTGCAGGAGTGGGAGTAGTTAAATATATTTTGGATAGTTATGCTTAGGTCCCTCTAAAATTATTTTCCATCCCAATACAGCACATTTATACTCTTAAGAAAGGGCTTCCTTGCCTAGGTTTACAATAACAAAAGAACCATAGTTTTGGTGCTCCTTGCATATGATTTCAAAAGATTCCCCAGGGGAAGATGAGCAGGTTCCATCCAATAATATGCAAATAAATAGGCTAATGTTGATTTTTCTGTATTTCAGGTAAACCTGTACCACCTACCAGTAAGTTCATCTTATTTGTAACCCTAGTATACACTAGACAGAGTGCATAAGATTTTAGTAATAGCTTTTTCGTTTTCAAAAGACCAAAAGTTAATTTAGAGTTATTGGTGATTAACTTATAATTGAACACCACTGGTTTGTAGGAAGGATAAACTTAGAAATACATTGTTATATTGAGGAAATTGATCTATTTAAAAATTTTTAATGTCCATATAAGGACAAATATCAACATTTTAAATGAGATGTGATGTAAGCAGGAAAGGAAATTAGTCATAGAATTAAAGGAGGGGGCAGAAAGAAGGAACTAAAACAAGACATACCTAAATTTAATAGAGTACACTCAGTGTCATTAATAGATAGAAAATTGAAGAGGAAGTGAATACAAGAACGATTCCTATTACCAATCATTCTGCCAGGACTTCCAAAATAAAAGGTACTTGTTGCTGGTTTGGAAGCTAGATCTTAAGACAAAGCAAAGAAGATTTTTGCACAGACTTAAGACAGTAGGTCAGGCCCCTCTCCCTTATTTATTTTTATTTGTCAGAAACTCTTGAGACACTTTCCAATAAGTATTGCTCTTTGAGCAGTGTCCGGAGAACTATGTGCATGAAGATCTTTTGATAAATAAGTCCAGCTATGCTGTAATCAACTTTGCAAATCTCACTTTTATTATTTTACTTTATATGCTCCCCTCACATTAGTGAGCCTTCTTTAGTAATTACTGACAATTTGCAGGGGAGCTTAGAAGCACTTATTATAAGACTAAATACCACAAAACAAATAAAATCCCTCTGAAAACAAAAGGTAGAAGGAATATATGTAGAAGACAAGAGGACAGTTTTGAAAGAAAAGTAAAGAGTGATGAGTAAAACTTTACTGCAACATCATACTGCCGCCCCAAAAGGTTTGACTATGTCTTTGCCCTGGATACAGAGATTAAGTATCAAAGACTAGCCTACCTCAACAGAGGTCCTTCAAACGGAACACTGAAACTTATGGGATTGAGCAAATATCAAAATCTCTCATTAAACACAAATAGTCCCAACTGCTATGAAATTCCCTTGACTTTTTGGAGGCAACCTCTGAAAACTGCATGAGTGACAATTTTGTTCTAAGTGACAAACCTAGAGATATTTCTTTATTGGATATATTTTCATATACTGCACATTATTCATGTCCTTATTTTTCTTTCTGTTTTAAAGAACCTGCATCAACTATCAGTAAGTTCCTTCTCAAATCCTAAAATTCATAGAATGTAAGTCAGTTTCACTCCGTGTTGCTATTACAGTATCAATTGGTCTAAAAACTCAGTGCTAGTATTTCTCTATACTAGTACTCTGTGTGTCATAGAGAAATAATTTATGATATTAAAAAAAATCAACAGTTAATAGATTATACCCATCATGAGAAACACTATTATCAAACCAGTCTTTGATACTAAATCCAATGTGATATTCATAAGCATAAGCAAAGAGAAGAGGAAGTTGATAAAAGTATAACACGAAAAAGAGAGGTTAGGTGATCTGACTTCTTGACAGGCCCAAAAATGGTAAAAACCTATTGCAGTGGACAAGAACCTAATAGCCTAGTGGGTTGCAGAAAGATCTGCTTTGCTCTTCCACCAGAGTAAGGGAGCTCTAGCCCCAACCCTCAGGTCTGGTCTTAGAACGCAACAGGGACCTCAACCACACCACCTGTGTAATGCCGATTCCTTCAAAGCAACAGAGTGGAAATGACAGGACAGATGCCAGTGCAAGTTTGACCGACCAGAAATATGTGTCATTTTTATGGTCAAAATTTTCCTATTGGTCACATATGCAATACCTTAATCAATAAAGAAATTTAAAAAAGCCGAAACCGGTTTGGCTCAGTGGATAGAGCATCGGCCTGCGGACTGAGAGGTCCCAGGTTCGATTCCGGTTAAGGGCATGTACCTGGGTTGCGGGCATATCCCCAATGGGAGATGTGCAGGAGGCAGCTGATCGATGATTCTCTCTCATCGATGTTTCTAACTCTCTATCTCTCTCCCTTCCTCTCTGTAAAAAATCAATAAAATATATTTTTTAAAAAAATAAAGAAATTAAAAAAAACTTTTCCATTGACAAATGGTTGAAGAACATGTATAGTTAACTCACCCAACATTCAAACAGTATTTGAAAAAGTATTAAGTCTCAATTCTCACTAAATTAATTCCAATTTTAACTACCATGATGTATTTCTTAATATGTAATACATGAGCATAAACAAAATCAGTGATGCTTTAGTAAAAAAAAAAAAAAAAAAAAAGTTCATATGTATTTCTAGATTTAGTTATCTCTAGATTTAAAGGTAGGTAACAACTCTCTAAATAATTATTTATGTGCATAAGCCCATACTTCCAATTTGGGGGTCACTAAGAATATAAAACAAAAGAAACGAAAACAATTTCTATAGATATCTTTATGACTAAGTAACTATTATGGCTAAAATTTGAAGAGAGTCCAGATACCTAACCACAGAAGAACTGGTTGTTAATATGATAACATATGGCATCATAATTAGAACTGACAATTGTTTTTTTCTCTGAATCAGGATTTGCTAAACCAATTGGTAAGGCTTTTTTTCTTTTTCTCAACAATTATATATTTTAGTTTACATAATAGTCTCACTAACAGCTGTGAGAGGGGAGGGGACTGGAAGGCTGGGTGAAGACGGTGACGGGATTAAGAAAAAGAAAAAAAACCTCTTAGACACAAACAACACTATGGTGATTACCGAAGGGAAGGGGGTTGGGGGAGACAGAAGAGGGTAAAGTGTGAGTAAATAGTGACTGAAGGAGACTTGACTTTGGGTGGTGAACACACAATACAATACACAGATGATGTATTATAGAATTGTACGCTTGAAACTTATATAATTTTATTAACCAATCTCACCCAATAAGTTCAATAAAAATTAATAAATACGTAAATAATAGTATGAAAGTTATGCCTATAGTTTTTTTAATTTAGATATAATTGATATATAACATTATATTAGTTTCAGGTGTTTAACATAATGATTTAATATTTGTGTATGCTGCCAAATAATCACCACAATAAGTCTAGTTAACATCCATCTACCACAGCCGTGGGCAAACTACGGCCCATGGGCCGGATCCAGCCCGTTTGAAATGAATAAAACTAAAAAAAAAAAAAAAAAAAAAAAGACCATACCCTTTTATGTAATGATGTTTACTTTGAATTTATATTAGTTCACACACACACTCCATCCATGCTTTTGTTCCGGCCCTCCAGTCCAGTTTAAGAACCCATTGTGGCCCTCAAGTCAAAAAGTTTGCCCACCCCTGATCTATCAACTGTAGTCACTATTTTGTACATTACATCTCCATGACTAAGATTCTCTCCAATCCTGAGGCTGTATGTATATCTTACATGTCTCATAAAGGACCACCTTGCTAGGAATAAAAGCATCAAACTAACTGATACAGAAGTGTTCGTGCTTTTTTAGTGTTACTTTATGATCCCCAAAGGAAATATGTTGTATTCCTTAATAACTAAAAAATAATAATATTGGTTGTGTTTTTTCTTTAGCAAAAGTCTCAAAATCTCCTCATAAGTATAGTACTTTATTTATAATTTTACTGCCTGTCCAGGAATATTAAGTTCAATGGTGGTTATTTTTCAGTGGAGTGTTATTAACGATTATCTTGAAACTAAACCCAAATGATTTATAGAAAAAAATAAACATATAAATACACTATTATTCAATCAAGTCAACAGACTAGCCAGTAACAAAGAAGAATGTTCTTACTGTGGAATAAAAACAAATTGAGTCTGAGAAAGAATAGAAAAATACAAAGAAGAAGTATAATTTTTTTAAATCTTGATGAATCTTCTAAATCATATACACAGAATCCAAAAACTTAGTTGGATATCTGAACAATTAAAGAGAATAAAAGAATGGACCATCCCTACATTTCTCCTACAATATCAGTTATGATTAATATTACAAATAGGATGGAAAGAAAATCCCTAAAAAGTAAAAGATGAAACCAAGGGAAACAGCAAAATGAAAAAGAATCAAGCTGTTTATGTTGTATCTTATTTAGAAGAAATAAGTACAATTACCACTGTTCCAATGCCAGAGCCCTGCTCAGCACTGCTGCTCTGAGTGGCATGGAGTCTATGTGTTCTTCTGAATTCTTCCCAACTACACCAGGGCAGGTCCTTCTGGAACCCTGCCACCGTACTAACTGCTGGGAATGTAGTCAAGCTCCTCCTTTATCCTCTGCTCACTAGTCACAGACAGATGTTGGGTCTGAGCCCCTCTGCCTAGGCCCTAGGGGCTGGACCTCCTTGGATGCCGGATCTTAGCCAGAGAAGCCGTGAGAAGCTGAGGGTGTGTAAGAATGAGTCTTTATAGCAGAAGCCAGTGGCCATAAGTCATTAGACAAGACAGTCCTTCTTACAAGTGTCCCAATCAGGCAGCTGTACACCGGCTGGTAAATACATATCTTTCCTACAAAGCAGCATTAATCTCTGTACCTAGAGTTATTATCTGAGC